AGAAGGTGTTCATAATAGACAATCCGTTGTTTGCACAAAACCGCAACAACTTCATGCCGTTGTTATTGAGATCGCTAGGGCTGTTTTTTCGAATCACGCTGTCAACACTTTTCTGCGTCTACTGCGACTTGCGCATTAAAATCGCCCATGAATATGAGGGACCCTGTATTCGGCACTTCGGACAGAGCACACTGCATTTCCTCAAGGAAGGTCTCATTCTCCCTCCAAATTGGGCGCATAAACCTGTACCATGGTCATCGCTTTAGGCTGCTGTAGCTTCAGTCGGAAGATTACCACCCTTCCACTGACAGGCTTCCAATCAATAATTCCATCGACAAGGTTGGGTTCTACTAGAACACCAGCACCGGCCTGAGCGCGCGTCGTGATATCGACGCTTGAATAGAATAGCTTCCATCGGCTCAGGTCCAGAGCCTTGGCGCTTTGTTGCCAAGATAACAATATCGAGTTGGTACTTTATGGCCTCACCAACTAACTCTTGTTCTTTCCGTCTGAGTGAGGATATGTTCCAATTGCCGACTTTAAGCTCCCACTGTTGGTGTGGTTCTCGTGGAGCCTTTTCTGACGTGCTACAATGGCATTGCGCTGTCTGCCTCCTCCGTTCAGAACGGGTACCGACTCGGTTGCTGACTGGTATCTTCGTCCTCGTTCCGTCGGTCTTCGTCAGCCGTTGTTGTGCTGCTACGCCGCCCGCTGGCAGAGGGCAATGAGCATATTCTGATCGCCGACTTTTCGCAGTCTACCTCAGTCCCCTATAACAGCCTGCCCCGCCCTTGGTCACCTGGGTGACTACCAAGCCGGTGTTATTTTCGATGGCATCAATACCGTGAGTGGCAGGTGGTTAAATTTACGGAGACTTTGCCACGGTCTTCAACCCTCCTCCTTTCTCAGGAACGAGAATGCCTTTCGGCCGGCAACAGCGTAGTTTTTCACCTAAAGTTTTGAATCGAAATTCAGTAGTCATTTTTTAAAATTTTGTTCGTTTTAATATCAGAACCGTTTTTATTGTTAATGCGGAAATTCCAGAGTTTGTTTCGTCTTCATCGATCATGTTTTATCGTTTCCAGTGGTGGTATGAAATTATTTTATGCAAAGACCCCTAAGACGGCCAGGAATGTCTTGAGGCCGTGCTTCGACGGAGTTTGCCAAATCTCAGTTGCTGGCACACAGTTGAATATGTTGGAAACAGTGCCTGACATTGTTGCTTCTTCGACCAGGAAAACAAAGCCATCATCGAAACGGTCTAACCGACTGAACGGACTAACCGACTGATGACACTGACGGGCTCTCTGACGGACTGTAGTTTCAGCGAGAGAAGGACCGACTTATTGAAAGGCTGACTGACGAACGGAAGGACTGGCTGACATCAGCCTGCAACTGACTCGTTACCCGATAATTATCGACTGACCGACAATTGCAATGAAGTTATGATAAGACCTAGGTTACCTAGTTTTGTCTTTTGAAGTTTGGAATTATTGCAGTACATGATTTACAGCATCAAACACTATTCTTACCAAGAACGGTATTATCGAGTGGTTGTAGAATGCCGTTCTATCGCATGTAGATTGCGTGGTTG